GTTTTAAAGGGGCAGGTTGTTTTCTCATTTTTCATGAAAAACCTTGAAAGTTCTTAGTTTTGAGCGTGTGTATGTATATATGTATATGTGTGTGTGTATATATATATGTTGACAAGAACTTTGCACCCTGGATCTGGAAAACCTTTTGCAATGATAGTTTCTTCAAAACATACATTCATTCCTATGATGACAAATCAGCATTTTCTAATGAAAATCCATTTTGATGTTTAAAAAAAATCCTTGTCAGAGAATCTGGCAACTGGCATCATCTGTACTTTATAACGAATTGTTAATCCTACAAGCTCACAAGCAAGTTTTAGGGGGTACTGGGTGCTTTCTGCTCCCACTGTTGTCCAGAGGCAGCACCCAACTTCTTGAAGACTGCGAACCAAAGTTTAACAATAAAAAACGTAGTTCCTCCTTAGGGATTCTGAGGTGCTCCAAAGTACACAGACACCAGGAATCATTCATATGCGTCTCTTCCCTTTTTTAAATGGTCTTTCAAGGTCTTGATTACAATACTCAGCATGCCTGTGTATTAAGGAGAGGCAGTGTGGGCATGTGTGTATTCTGCAAAGGAAGTGGGGGGTAGAACAGTAGCAAAATGTTCTAAGCTTTAGCATACTGCTCTTGTAAGAGATTTTAAATTTTAGCTGGTCTAGTCCATGTATTAAAATGTGATATTTTACTGGAGTTTCTGAAGTGTTTATTGCAATGGTATAGTTATGACTGGTAGAGGGATTTTTATTCTATGTCTGTACTTTTAAGTGCTAATTTTTTTTCAGAAGTTACCTCATCAGTTTAAGCTGTCTCATGCATATTCCAAGCTCAAAGGCAAATTTGATTAGAAAGCTTGGAAAAGATTAATTGGCATTCCTTGGTTTGCTGAAGAACGGGGGGAAGTGTGTTATTTGTACTTGTATCAAGTAGCTTATATTAATCCAGCAAATCTTCATGAAAATATCCCAGTGACCTTCTAAAAGCTGAGGCCAATGGTAGATGGTTTAATCCAAGCTAATTGAATTGCAGGAGAAATATGGAGTCAGTTATAATGCTGTACCTAGCAAAACACTAGTTAAAGTTTGTCAGTCTGGTTACGTTATGTTGTCTGAGCAGTGTTTTCTATGATGAATCGTTCAAGTATAATTTTTCATATTTTTGTGGAGTATTTTTGATACTACATCAGCTTATATAAGGTTTTTTTTCCAAAGGAATTTAGGCATCGGGGGTGTTTTTTCCACCTTGCTAATCACCATCTGTGTACAATTTTCACTCTTGCGGTTTGGCTTCCTAGTGTGAGACACGTGGAACTTCCCAATCCCTAATTTTAGGGGGTTTTTGGCCCGCAAGGGACAGAGACCTGGGAGAGGAGACCAAGACTGGGACTGGTGCGAGCTGGAAAAGGACACAGGTGCTGGGACTCAGGAATGATAGGAAGGGACACTAGCAGCCAGTAGTTTGGGAGGAAACTGCGATTGGTGGAGGAGCTGAACAGAGACTTGGGGAAGAGAGGGGACACTATGTGAGACATGGAGTCTGGAGAGAGAGTCAGGAGTGGGAGACAACAAGGGTGCGAAACCGAGGCTAGAAGCCAGAGGAAGGGGCAGAGACAAATTTGGACAAGGAGGTCAGGACTCAGAAGAGAAGTCTCAGGAATAGAAATTAGGAGTAGGTAGGTCTGGAGAATAGGACAAGGAGCCAGGAGAGAAAGGAGACAGGACAAGGACAGGAACAAGTTTGAAAAGATAAAGCCAAAGGAATTGAGTGTAGAGGGGATGTGTAGAAGAGTCCATATCCACTAGAGCTCCCACAACCCCAGAGTCTGGAATGAAATCCAAGATCCTGGCATCTCACCATTCCTCTGTTTTCAGCAAATATTTTTAAAACCCACGGCAATAGTTATGTCTCCTTCTAGTGCTGATCCACATGGAGATGACAACCTACAATTGCTAACACACAGGCTAAGTGACAGAAGTCTTTATAATTCCAACTCTGCTTATGACTAATGTGGGTGTCCATCATGTGATATTGCATGGAATTTCTGGGTTTCTTTCTGTTTCAGTTTTTTAAAAACATAGGATAGCCCAGTTGGGACACAGAACTTACTTGCTTCTAACTCTGTCAATCTGTGAAATATAGGACTTTAAACGTAATAGCGTCTTAATGTCCAGAAAAGCTATTCTCAGAGATATATTTTCAATTTATGAATTAAAATTTTCCCTTCCCAGAAAATACTCTGTAATTAGCCTTGCTAGGTGCCAAGGCTGTACAGAAGGAAGGATAGAAAAATAAATTTATTTTGAAACTGTCTAAAACAGTAGTAAATTGTAAAGCATGTGATGCATACAGACTTCAGGATTGTGTGCTGGAAAAAAGTTTGATCAACATATGTTTGAGATAATCTGCCTTAGCTATTCATGAGTCATGTGGCCAACCCAAATTCATTCCAGAAAAGCTTTTTACACCCTACTACTCTAAAACATGTATTCTTTTATTGTGCGTGTGTGCATGCACATGCATACTTAAGTGAGCTGATGGTAGTCTACCTTTCAGAGGAAGGTGACTATTAGTTACAGCAGGGCCTTTGACAGTTTTCTTGGCTGAAGTCCAACAAACATAATTCATGACTTCAGATGATCTTTGCTCTCTAAAGTGGAGGCTTCATATCCAGTGTGCAGAAAGAAAAGACTCTCTGCATATTGGTGACCTTGTGGTGAGCTATGACCATGGGAAATTCCACATCTAGTTTCTTTTCCCTTTTCTTTGTACTTGTCCAGTCTCAATGCTTTTGGAGAGGGAGTCACTACTCAAAATGTAAAGAAAGCAGCACACATTATCTGGCTGCTGCTAGACACTGAGTAATGCATCTTGAGATGCACCATATGGGGCTAGGTCATTGCTTCAAGTGGGGCTGCTCCCCTGTTGCACACAGATGTGCCACTGCTTTTCTTTACCTAGACCTGCAGCTCTAGCTGCCAAGTGCCAGCAAGCTTTTTTTGCAGAGATTAGATGCAAGATGTTCAGCACTTCTCTGGATTATGTACAAATTGTGTACATCTATCTGCATAGGAGCATGCTTATTTAATGGGCAGGAGAGTGATTTTTACAGAAGAGGGGCTACAGAGAGGGTCTGAGTTTTAGCTAAAATGTGGGTCCCATTTTTTGTCAATTCTGCCAATTTACAGTAGATATGATCCTACCTCAGTAGAATCACACTGCCTTCTTTCTGCAGACACGTGATCTGTAACCTGCACTGACCTGTCAAGCTGTACAAGCTGCATCATGTGAAATAAACCTGGCTCATAGCAGTGGCTCATTGTTCTTGACTCCAGAGCTTGCATCAGAATTTGCACGTTTTGTAGCTGCCTAACTGGCAATGTCAGGATGTCAGAGGCTGACAGCAGTGATTATGCCAGGAGAGGAAGACAGATGGGTTTAACACTTCAGCAGACTGCTGCTGTCTGATTTTATGTGCTCGGTTTAATGCAAAAAGGGCTATCAATTCCAGCCAGGATAATTCCTGTATGTAAATAATTAGCTATGTTTTGTAGTCAAGATTCTCTGTTAGCATTGTCCTCCTGGGCAAGGGTATCAAAAGAGATCTTTCATGGGGTTTGGTAACCACAAGATGTGTCATACCTCATCCTTGTACAAATGGCAGGTGTTTGTCACTTAGGGCTTGATCCTCTATGGCACAGGTATGGAGTATTACTCTGTATTCATTTACACAAAAGATGATGATGAGCAGGGTGGGAAGCAAAGAAGATCCTGATCCTGTGTGAAGGGGAGCAGGTTTGCTCCACAGCTTCCTCTTTTTTTCTATCTAGCAATGAAACGGGTGCAAAGCAGGAGTGTGGGTAGCTATGCTCCTCATTTGCATGCTGACGACCACACTTAAGTCTCTTTTCTCAGACAGGCCCACAGCTCACTTCCTTTTTTTCCATACAGAGCACAAATCTTGAGAGTAAGGGAGTGGGCTCAGAGGGTGCAGGGATTTCCACTCTAAACTTACAACTATTCTTCAACATTGCTTTTGCCCAAGCCTGGCTACTGTTCACTGTTGCTGTGGATTCCACCAGCCATCAACTCCCTGCAGGGCACTGAGCAAAGATTTATAGGACCAAGACCTTTATGCAGCCTGGGTAAGTGAGGAATTTAGGGAAAAGTGGACAACTTTATACCACCAGTCAACTCTTGAAAGCTATATGACCTGTAAACAAAGCTGAAGAACTTAAAAATTGTCTTGCCAACTTCCCCTCCCCCACCCTCTTGTCATTCATCCCTTGCTTCCAAACTCCTTTATGCCTCATAAAACCTTTATCCCAAAGCATTAGCTACTGTAATATATATATATATATATATATATAAAAAGATTAAACTAGTACAGCTGAGTAAGGTGAGATGACATGAATTGGTAGATAAAATTGTCCCTGCCCTCCTTCCAAAACAGTATCCTTGCTGCCTGATAATTCTGGTAGCTCCTCCTTACCTTTGGATCCATTGTTCTTCTGATGCTGTCATATCAGGCTTTACTGATAGTGGGGATGCCTCATGAGAGAACCCATCCACATTCACAAGCTCACTTCTGGAGTCTCCATTTTTGAGTGAACCTGTGGCACAAGAGACAGCTGACAAGTTAGTAAATCAGCCCTTTTCTTAATGATTTTTGTTATTTCTACAATAAGCAATAATGTGTTTAAATGGAAGGGGATGGGAGAAACAGTGGTTTGCAGTCATTAGGCTGCACTTTGACTCCTGAGAGGTAAATTTTCAAACAAGAAGTTGTAAAGCTCACGTGTCTACTCTTAGGGCAAGTCTTTACACATTCATTTTCTTCAACTGCATGTACAATCAAATGAAAATATGTGTGTAGGCTTGCATCATCCTTTGTGTGTGTGTGTACAATAGGCTTCTACCCAAAAAAAATTATCTCCAGGAGCCAGTGACTTTCAACACCACTATTTACAGAGAAGAGCTGGGTGGAGTTAGTGTCCTGATACCTGTTTTCCCATGCCAGGACTTCAGCAGCTGTCTGTTTCCTGCCACAGAGAAGTCCACTTTATTGCAAGAAAAATGAAAGTAAGTTTTGGGAAGGAACTTTACCTTTAATTCTTTTCCCCTTTCTTTCAAGCAAACCAGAAAGTCATTCTTAGGGAACCAAAGCTGCGGTAGAAACTCTGTTAGGTCCCAGGCTCATCACAAAATACTTTAACAGGGAAGGGCAGAGAAGGACTCATCCCACTTTCAAAATTAAGTCTGTTGTTATTTGAAGCCTGAAGATGAACACCATTGTTGTTTTCTTTTACGAAGTAATTTTGCTTCTACTTTATATCAATGGCAATATGTCTCCGACACCAGTGAGTGCAGACCTGGCCTCTCTATATGAAGTGCATTTCCAATACACCCTCTTAGACAATGCTACTGATTCACCATTAGAGGGTTGTCTGAACTGCAAGTTTTTGTACATCTGTGATATATAGTTTACGGAGAGTGGAAGGTGATGGGGAAGGAGCAGGGCAGGAGAAATTTCACAAAACTGCTTCTCTGTCTCCTAACGCTTTCCTCTAACTTAACCATTTTCTCCCTTGCTAAAGGAGATTGCTTGCAAAAATAACTCTGATTCTAGATAACAAGGTGCCTGATATGTCTTAGACTTTTCAGATACACCCAAAAGGCAGGCTGGCACAAATGCCAAAATGTAAGCCTCTGCCTCTGTTAGGTTTAGTTTCCTTTAGATTCACTTTTCTCACCTCCCCACCCCCTGCTCTCACTTCTTAATTTCTCCCCACCATATATTCCATCCTACTTATTTACTGGATTCTAGGAGGGGAGGGGGTTAATTCCTTTCTCCTCTCCCATTTTTTCAGTGTCTCCTAGGTAGAAGGTGAACACATTAATGTCTGATATTGAGTCAGACTTTTGGACTCCGATTCAAAGGGGGTAACAAATTAATATAAAAGAGCTCACCCATCCCTTGTGTCCATGTGCTTGAGCAAATGCTGTGAGAAGAGGTTCCTGTTATATGAGGCTGAGGCTTGTATAAAAGCTTATGCTGTCCAGTTTCTGAGAAAGCGTGAGTGAATGATATTTGTGTTTCTGAGGGGAAAAATCAGGAGAGCTGTTTATGCCATCCAGCCTACTGAAAAAGCTACAGTTCAAAGCTGGATTTGTTTCTTTGCGCGCAGCTCCCAGTCAGCACATGACCCAGCAGAGAGATGTATTTCTCCTAGTAAGTCCTGTTATGTTGATTGGAAGAGAGAAATATTGCTCTGAACAGATCCTGCTGGATGGCTGCAGATGTGCAGGAGGAATGTCTGTTCCAAGAGGGTCCTGCTTTAGCAATGGAATGACTGGAAAGGCATACAAAGAAGCATTGCTCCGAGCAGGGCAGGTTGCACTGGTGCCGTTGTAAGCATGTCAGAGAGAAGCATTGCTCTTATGTGATTCCCCTGCAGTGACACTGGCTAAACAGGAGAGATGCTGCCTCATGCCATGGTCCAAGTGCAGAAAAGGTGTAGGCTTGTAGGAGAGAGGCCTCTCTCTAAGCTGACTATGCTGCAGAGATGTTGTGGCTACACAGGAGAGAATGCCTTCCTTATACAGTGATCCTGGTGCAGTGATGCCATGGGCATGCAGAGAAGAATGTCTTCTGTGCCAGTCCTGCTGCAGTGACGCTGTCGGTAAGCAGGAGAGGCAGAGGGAACTGCTCTGAGCCAGTCCTGCTGCTGCACTGCTGGGGTGGAGTAGAGGTCTGCCTTGGCATGCAGAATGCTCAATTAGTCCACAGACCTCATTGACAACAGTAGAAGCATATTAAGCAGATGCTCCCTGCTCTTGTGCTGCCTGCTTGGACACTCAGAGAAGGGAAGGATCTTCTTTTGCATACATCTTACTGGACAGAATCAGCTCCTTTGCTCAGGGGATAACATGGCTCCCTTGGCTGGCAGAGCAGAAGACCCTTTTTCTTGGAAGAATCCCCCAGGCCTCTTTTGGGGGAAGTGTTTGATCCTCATGCCATCAAGGGAAACCCAGGCTGTTTGCTAGGGATGGGCAATGTGCCTCTCTGTTGGGTGATACAATAGTCATCTTCAGTGATTTTTTTCACACTGACACTTAGAATATTGCTGCCCTTTTGTGACCCAAGCAACTTGCCCGCTTCTGGACCCTGCAGGTTTTGTTCTGTTTAGAGGAGAGTGATGCTTGGGTTGGGGATCTCTGCAATCCTGTTACATTCCAAAGAACAGACAAAGTCCTACTTCCCTGGGCACAGAAGGAATCGAGGAGGCAATGGTTTCTTTGCTCACAGCTCCAACTTTCTCTCATTGAACATTTGACTGAAAAGCTCTCTCTCAGCTTCTTACTAGGACCAGCATCAGTATTGGTACTTCCTTGCAGCATTCTTTCTCAGCTTCTCTGATCGCTGTCCTGCTTCCCTCTTGGACATCACCAGGTACACTCAGTTCCACTCTAATCAATTCCTGAGCCTCCGTGGGTTTGTCTGCACCACGTCAGTGGTGTGTCTTATGGAGGGAGCATGTTTCACCCACCCAAAACAGTCAATGCTCTCCCTAGATGTAAATTCACTGTGAGGCAGCTCTGGACTTGTCCCCAGTGTCTACTTTTGAACCCACAAGAACCCAAGGGTTTGAAAGCAAGAACTGGAAACAGGCCCAGAGTCATTTCAGGGGTGAACTTCCAGTTTGGAGTAAGTCAATGGGTGTTGGCTGGGCATGCTCAGTCCCATTCTCCACAAGACCAGCTACTGACACTGCATAGACAAGCCTTGTGTTTGCTCTGAAAGTACCTAGGGAAACACCTTGGGCCATATGATTCAGCTTTTACTCAAGTCTGCCACATATCTGTGTGTTTTGGACACTGCTTGCATTATCTCAGCTTCCTGACTGTATGCAGGAGATTTAATGGCAGTTTAGATGAAGGGTCGGAGTAGCACCCTGTCATTTCAAAGAGGTTTGATCCCACCCATAACTGTGCAGTCTGTTTGCTGGAGGTGGTGTTCCTGGGCACGTTGCCTTCCCACTTTTTCTGTTTATTTTCTGAGGGTGCTGCACAGACCTTCTTTGTAGAAATCCCATTTTTCTGTCTGTCTTCATATGTTGCTGGGGGTTGGCTCCCTTCTTGTCTGCCACTTGGTTTTCCCTGCTTAAAGTGATTTTCCCTGAGAAAGGGGTAGAGCCTAGCTCCTGAGCCTCTCCTGGTTCTCTACAGCAAAACGTGTTTTGCAGGTCCAATGTGAATACTAGTCTGTCTGGCATTGAAACACCAGCTGTGGCAGAAGGGCAGGGGCTGAGGCTTAGAGCTGTGTGAAGTGAGAGATGGGAATCTCCACTTCTGTAAGTGTGGATCCACCCGAGCTCCCTTCCCATCACTACTAAACACAGTCAAAAAAAAAAAAAAAAAAAAAGAGTGAGAATTTTGGGTCTGGTACTCACCTGAAACATTCACAGCATTCACTGCCTCTCTTGTATTCCTCCTTTTCTCTCTGCTTGGTAGCCTCATGGACCGATAGTACCTGGAATTTCTTTGAATTGCAACATAGTATTTCGGCTGCTCCATCTGAGTTGCATGGTTAGGACTCTCTGACTTCTCATCGCCTTTGGAAACCAAGCCGGATGGCGACATTGTATGCTGAGAAGTGCCCTTCCTGAGTCCACTGGTTACTTTCCTGCTGTGCCCTTTCCTCTCTTCCATTTCTTCTGTCTCCCTGGCAACAGATGTTGATTGTTTAGTTAACAGAACAGCACAGGACCAGAAACTCCGGAAACTTCATCAGACCTCTCTGCTGTAGAAGGGAGGGGAATAAGTTATGGTTAATCCAGAAACTGAAGAGCATCCATCATCTGTGAGAATGAAGTTTTCCCCATTCTGGATTTTGTTGAGAAACTATTGTCAGTATACAAGACTATCCCATGTCTTCCAGCCCTTAATGAAGTGACATGGTGTCATGATATAAGAACTTTGCCATGATACAGGAATGGCCAATCTGCAGGATGTGTGCCACAAGTGGCATCAGTGGCTGCCGTGTGTGGCATATGGTGGATCAGGGAGAGCAAAGCAGCAGAAAGGTCAGGAAACAGCAGAGCAGCAGATTGGGCAGGGAGCACAGAGATGGGAGCAGAAAGTAGACCAGCAGATTGGGTAGGGGAAGAAGATCAGAGTGACATTCAGAGAGGGTAAGGGGCTAATTTGTGGCATGCCTGCCAAAAAGGTTGGCCTCTACTGCCATGATACAAGAGACCCTACATTGATCCAGTGAATTGGCACCACTTGCTTTAATATGAAAGAACCGAGATTTTTCATATCAGGATGGTTTGCAGCCTGCTTGGTTGCAAATTAAGAATGAGCCACTCGGCCACTACTTTTACTTCAAAGGACTGTTGTTATGATCAGCTGGTGCGCCATCAGGGCTCCACTCAGCTGATCTGAGAAGCAGCACCCTTTGATATAAAAGCCACAACAAAAAACTGGTGCACCTCTTCAGCCCTGTATGATTGTTTTCTGTGGCTATATATTCACGCCCCCCTGCCTTAGTTCACAAACCCTCATATTTACAAGAGGTTCAGGAACCTACGCCTACAAAGAATCCATAGAATCGTAGAATCATAGAAGTAGGGTCGGAAGGGACCTTGTAGATCTTCAAGTCCGACCCCCTGCCTGGGCAGGAGGAAAACTGGGCTCAAATGACCCCAGCCAGGTAGGCATCGAGCCGCTTCTTAAAGACCCCCAGGGTAGGAGCCATCACCACTTCCCTTGGAAGTTGGTTCCAGATCCTGGCCGCCCTAACTGTGAAGTAGTTTCCCCAGGATTGAGGTAAGACTGATGGGCATATAGTTGACCGGGCCCTCCCTCCTCCCTTTTTTAAAGATGGGGACCACATTGGTCATCTTCCAATCATCTGGAACCTGGCCCAAGCACCACGGGTGCTCGTAAAGCCGTGCCAAGGGCCCAGCAATAACCCCTGCTAGCTCCCTCAACACCCTGGAGTGGAGAGCATCTGGACCTGCTGACTTGAACACGTCCAGCTCCTCCAGAAGCACTCTAACCCGGTCCTCCTCAACCTT